CGCTTCCTGACCATAGATATGTCAGGGATCCTGATTCACCACCGGTATGATTTATAGCTTTGATTTATCAGTCGGGTACTTGGACATTCATTCCTTTACTGATAGTTTTGCCTTTGTATCTGCAGCCTCCGGTTGAGTATGTGGACGAGATTCTCGGGGTGATGGCCGCACTTGAGGGCATGGTCCTTCGGAGAGAGACACACATATCCGTTATGGGTGTGCAGGTACCGTTCATTTTTCTTATATTTATCACACTTCTGATGACACACTGGTTTTGAGCATTCTTCTGTATTGTAGAGCACACCCGACACACACCCCACTCACATACTGTACTTGTATCTGATTTTCATATTTGAACTGATGTACTGAACTTTTCATTTTCAGATGCCTCCTGTATATGCTCAGCCGCGGGCCGGGCCAGTTGAACACGCCAGCCCAAACTTTAATTTTCTGAACACGCAGCCCAGATTAAATAGTGAACACGCAGCCCACACTGATAGTAAGTTGAACACGCAGCCCAAACTTTAAATTTTCTGAACACGCAGCCCAGATTAAATAGTGAACACGCAGCCCACACTGATAGAAAGTTGAACACGCAGCCCAAACTTCAAATTTTCTGAACACGCAGCCCAGATTAAAATTTGCATGTAGCATATTTCACTTCATCGGCATACAGCCCATTTCATTCCATTGGCATACAGCCCATTCATCTCATTGGCACACAGCCCATTCATCTCATTGGCACATGGCCCATTCATCTCATTGTTGACGCATGTATTCATTCTGAATGCAGGTTGGTTCCCGCAGTGTGCTGGGGTATGGTTCCACCATCGCGCGGGACTGGTACGCTGAGCTCCCGGAGGGCGTCCGAGACTTGGTAGATTTGGCAGGATTCGGGCCCTTCTGCGTCGGGTTGTCACGTTGTCCTGCCAGGAGGACATTGATGGCAGCCTTGGTAGAGAGATGGTGGGACACCACAAATTCCTTTCATTTCTCTGCTACCGGGGACATGACCATGACACCCCTAGACTTTGCTGTGCTGACCGGCCTGGATGTAGGGGGTTGGTCCATTCCCTACGACGAGGATATGGGCGAGTGGGAGGCCGCCTGGATGTATCTGTTGGGGGCTCGTGTTGATAGGGTTTCAGGGAGAGTTCGATACACTTGGTTCTCCTCCCACTTCCGGCTGGCGGAGATGGTGCCTGAGAGTCCCGAGGAGACGGAGCAGTATGCCCGTGGTTTCCTGATGTTCCTCTTCGGGACTACCCTGTTCGCCGACAGAGGGAACACCGTTGGGCTATACCTGCTGAGCGCTCTAGTTGACCTATCACAGGTCCATAGATATGATTGGGGCGGCGCCGGCCTGGCTACCCTTTATTTTTACATGAGTGCGACCTCCCGCGGGCGGGGCGATTTGCTTGGCGGCTACTGGAGAGCCTGGGAGGTACTTTTCTGTCCCCTTGATCGCCACCTAAATATTTTGTTTCGGGGAAATTTAGGAAGCCCATGACTTGTGCCAAAGGTCACGTGTCCGTCATCACTAAAGTTGCCTAGGCTCGGGAACTTAGGAACAAGAGGCAGTTTGTATTTTGCTCTCAGCATTTCGTACTTACATTCTGCATTGCTTTTCTCAGCTATGGGTCTATGTATACTTCCCATCATTAGCCCCAGAGCTGGAGGTGGTAGGGATTCCCATGACCCCATATTCATTGGTGTTCGAGGGCCCACACCGGCCGAGGCCTCGAGAGACCCTCCTTCGCCTGCGACAGTACTTTGACACTGTGCGACATTCAGAGGTACTTCAGAATTTTCAGTTCTTTTCATTTTCATCTTTGATTTGCTCTGTATATTCTCAATTTCTGATTGGTTTATGCATTTATCATCCGTAGATTACATGGCAGCCATGGGTGTCCCTGGGTGATGGTCTCCGACTTCAGTATACCGGAGCATCGGACATCTCCCAGTATAGGGTCCTGCTCGAAGGGCCGGTTGGCAGGGCCTGGTTCCTGGGGGAACGCTTTTTGCGCCAGGTATGGGGGTATCTTTCTCAGGATATTCCCGCAGTACCCCCAGCCAGTATGCGGACCGCTGACAGACTCTCTTACTCGGAGGTAGTCGGCGCCATGCTGGGTACTGATGCTTTGCTATATATTGAGAAGGGAGACTACGCCACTTACCGTCACATATATTTGATGCCCCCATTGACGGAAGCTCGTATCCCGATGATGAGGCCTGCTGGTATGTCATCCTCGGGCCAGGCTCAGGCTCGGGCTGCAGACGCCCCTTCTTCTAGCAGGGCTGGTACATCTAGAGGTGGGAGTAGACCAGTTCCTCCGGCTCCGTCGGTTCATCCTCATCCCGGATGGCCAGATATGCCTACTGAGTTGATGGCGTGGCAGTATGGGGCTATCTCTCCGACCCCGATCCCGCTAGAGCCTCCGATGCCCAGTGATCGATACGCCATTGATCCGGACTCACCGCCGGTATGCTCCACTTCTTTTCATTCATCATTCAGATGTTTAGACATTTTTGTTCACTGATGATTATGAGCTCATTTTTTCAGCCATCGCGAGGGTACATGGAGGAGGTGGTTGGACTGGTGGCCACACTCGAGGGCATGGTCCTGCGTAGGGAGGCACAGTTGTCTGTCGCGGGCATTCAGGTACCCTTCAGTTTTCTGGCATTTATCATACTTCTGATGACATGCTGATTTCTACTGCATCGATAGACTATTTGTGTAGAGCACATCTGACACACACCCCACTTGTACACTGTATTTACATGCACCCACTTTACGTATCCTTTGCTTGTATCTGCATCTGATGTATATATTTGGACTGATGTATTTGAATTGAACTCTTTGTTTTCAGATGCCTTCATGGTCCGGTCAGCCGCAGTCCAGGCCACCTGGGCCTCCTTGGGGAGTTGGGCCATCTGGGCCTTTTCAGGGGGCGGGGTCATCTCGGCCTTCCCGAGGAGCCGGGCCATCTAGGCCTTATCGAGGAGCTCGAGGAGGGCCCGTCCGCAGACGCCGGGCTCACGTTGTGGAGGTGGAGCCTGACGAGGAGGAGGAGGATGCTGAGGAGGAGGAGGAGGCTACCGACCGTCAGTCAGAGACATCTGCTGAGGAGGGAGGCTCCGATTTTGGCTCAGGGAATAGAGGCGAGGCCGAGGGGGATCCTGAGGATGACAGCTCTGACTCAGATGGTGGTGCGGAGATTGTCCCGCAGAAGAGGATGAGGCGTGCTTCTCGTTCCCGCTCCCGAGGACTTTGATGCTGCTATTTCCTGCTTTATTTTCCTTTTTTACTAGTAGTTTGTAGCACTTTGCACATTGTTAGGCAGTTTTATTTTTTGTAAAACTTGTTCCTTTGTTTGTTGTAAAGCATGATGAAATGAAATAGCTTTTGAAAAAGATGTTTGTACTTTAAACTTTTAGCATCGTATCGCATCATTATTTTGCACAAGAATAAAATTGAATGGAAATGTGCATTGTGTAATCACCAAGTCAGGTAGTGAACCGACGCAACAAACTAAACAACTCAACTTACTAAGATATAACAGAATCTTTAGCAAGTTTACAACTCGATAAGCAAAATGCAACAACGCAAATAAACAAGACTTTAACAAAAATTGCTTAAACAGAGCGCAATGACTCAAAAACACAAGACACGTCCGCTCGACAAACAACTCGATACGCAAAATGCAACAACTCGATAAACAAAACTTAACAACAACAAAGTGTACTTCTGACGATCTGGGCACCGGGACGCATCCGAAACAGAGGGAGATGAAGGCCTTTGACTCTCCCGTTGCATGGAAATGCTTGGAATTCTCCCTCGAAGGGTAAAACAGGGCCAAGGAGATACACTGCAGCATTGCCAACCATCCCCGGGAGCCGGCCGGCCATTTTTTGTAGAGAGAGACAGTTGGCCGGCCATTTCTGCAAAAAGTAAATGGCTGGCCAGCCAGAAAAGGTGGCTGGCCGGCCACTCAGTCCTGCAGCCACCAGATTTTTGACAC